CACCGGCCTGCTGACATCGCACCAGCCCCACGGCGCTCTTACACTGGCGAGTTCCCTTGAAGGTCTGCCACCTTCACAGGTGACTGCTGATTTCTCACCTGGTTGCTCCTGGGACTCAGGGAGACCTTTGCTCCCGGGCCCTCCTTCCCGGGGCTCCAGCCTCTGCGAAAGGCTAGGTTGCTGGAGTTTTTATTTCTTGGTGTTAGGTCACTGCAGCCCTGGGATAAAAATAGGTGTAATTAGTATGTTAGAGATTAGACTCTACATTTCTAGCTTTGTGCCACTTCCTCTAATAATACCAATTTTGGTGACACATTTCCTCGAATCCCGGGCTGGCTTTGGTTGCTAAAATCCTCAAACAGCAGATTATAGGACGGACCTGTTTGCTTTTAAAACCTAGAAGGGCTGGGCCCTGATTAGATCTCCCCACTCCCGCTTTCTCTCTCCCGCCTTCAACGCCTGTCTTGATTTTCTTGTTTCGTGTTTAGGGAGCAGTGACTTCACTCTCCCCCAAGGCTGGTTTTTTTGTGGCAAGCTAAGCAGACTCCGTCTTCTGTGTCTGTGCTCCTGGCTGCTCCAGAGTCCCCACAATGGTGGGTGGGGGGACGTGAGTGAGGCACCCCCTGTGTGAGCCGAGCAGGGCACCCATGGGCCCCACCTGTTACCTGAGCCAGGCTTCAGAATTCGGCCACGAGGGCCACACGAGAGCCTGAGCCCAACAGGAGCAGGTCGGTGATTCCCGTTCCTCAGAAGCATCATTCCGGGGTCTTGCCGCTCACCTCTTGCCCCTTAGGGGAGCTCGTGGGGGTGGGGGTATAATTGTAATTTGCTGGGCTCCTGGGATTCCCCAATTCTGTCTCTCTAAGACCATGTCTTGTACTGGGGGGCGCGGGGGACAGGGAAGTCAGGCTTCCTTCCCTCGTCTTGTGTCCGTACCTGCGTGGCAGGTGCTGCTTTCTACAGGTGGGCGGCTTCAGGTCTTGCCCCTTCTCGCGGCAGCTTGAATTAGCCTCCACCCTTGGTGAGTCTTAATTTACAATTAAGGGCCGAGAGGAAAAAGTTCATTAATCAGATCTTCTCGCTTATGTAAATGGCCCCCCAAAGCCACACACCTTTTTCATCTGCCCCCCAGTAGCTGCGCCCGCGTCACCTGGGTCGCCTGGTCTGAGCTGCGAGGCGCTCGCGGGGCGCTGGCAAGCTGGCTCCCTACCTTCGGAAAGAAAGGGGCTATATTTAGTCTTTAAAGCAAGCCTGCTTCGTGTTCTTTGTAAAGTCAGCGACATTCTTTCCATTTTTTCGGTGTAATTAGCACAAAAGGAGCCGTAATCTGAGAAGGTAGGAGAGACTAGAGCCACCGAGAGACAGGAATGTTCAAGAAATCGGGCAGAGGCCGTTTTCCCAGTGCTGGGCGGCCCGCAGGCCCGGGACGTGGCTGTGGGCAGAGCTGAGGTCTGCAGCTTGTAAAAACATCTCCTTTTCATCTGAGCCCCAGACTGCTTGCACATGCTCGATGCTTTGGCAGGATAGTTTGCCCCCTCAGAACTTCCAGAGGTCAGCAAAGACCGAGAAAGCCACGGTGCCGCCGGGCCGCTCACAGGCCAGGGGGCGTTGGCGAAGGCGCAGGGCCCTCGGCTGCGTTTGGACCCAGTGGAGGCTGAGTAGGAAGGAGCAGGGGCGCCCGGAGGGGAGCCCCGTGCATGCAGGAGGCCCCTCCCTCATCTAGAAGCCATGCTGTATGTGCCCCCATGGTGTGTTCCCCTCCAAATAAAAACCCAGGGAAAGAGGTGGAGCCAAACTGTAGTGACACGTTTCCCCCCTTCAGTCTCAGCGCGTGTGGGCAAACACGGAAAGACGGAAAGGTACCGAGATTTCTAGATGAAGTAAACGTGTGACTAATTATGTCACATTAATTGCTTAATTCAGGGTTTACCAACAGCAGACGGGAGTGGGCCTGGAAGGGGCCTTTCAGCTGCGGAGGCGACCGGCAGACGGGCCCGTGGCCCCTCAGAGCCCCGACTGAGCTGTCCCGAGCCGGGGCTGGTAACCAACTGCAAGGCTGTTTGCAAATGGTCACCCCCGTTTGCTTGGTCGGTGCATGAGGTAAAAACCTAAGACGAGAAGTTCTGCTCAGCAGTTGTTTTGCTCGTGTGTATGCACACCAGCCATGCTGAGCCGAGAGAAACTTATTACCTGATTCATTCTGAGTCTTCAACGCTCCACTCATTGTATGGGGCTAAATTCCAAGGATTGAAAACAAGGCGAAAAACTAAAATCTTTCAAATGAGCCTTTAAAGGGCTTCTTTGATCGCAGGTGATCTGCTTAGAGCCCTGCCATGCTCTTGGTTACCCCAACTTTTCTCCCCCCGTTATTTTTTTCAGTAAGACATTGGATCAGGGCGTCCTTTTAATGAGGGACCTTGTAAATAAAAGCGAAGGTCCTTGAACTAGCCCTCTTTGAATTATTCATCATCCTGGAGCCCAAGTTTCAAGTTCTGAGCCGCAGTTTTCCCATCACCTTAGTCTTCACAGATTTCCTCCCCAAAGAAAGCAAAAGTTTAGGGACATCAACATTCCCACTCAAGAGTCAGGCCATCTTCCATCTTTTTGCTGCTGCTGTGGTTGTTGTTACCCAGTTAAGATCTCCAGGGAGTGGGTCCATTGGCTGATGTCACCATGCCCCCCAATCCAAACTGCCCACCTAGAATCTTCAACCCAGCCTAACAGGTGCATTCTGTTATTTAGGCATAAGTTTTAAAAGGAACAGAGATGTGTGTGCTCTCTTTATGATCGTTTTCCCCTTTAAGGTAGACGATGGCTTTGTTAAAAGTCCACACCCACCCACATGGGGGTGCCGGGGATAGTGTGAGAAAGGCACTAGTGGTCTTGGGGACTGGGCCTCCCTGGAAACGGGAAACTCCTCTCAGGGATGGGACACCCCCCCCCCCCCCCCCGCCCAAGTCAGGACAGCTCTGTCTGCTATGGTTTTAAATAGATGCTTAGCTGGTGTCTCCAAGCCATTGACTCAGGACATTGGGTCCAGACCCATCAGCCCACCTGCCCACACATTCTATCTGGACGAGAGTATGTTCTGAATGACAGATTATCTTTCCATCCATTGAGGGAAATTAAATAGGGGAATTTCATATGGTCCTGTAGTTCATTCCTTGATCTCAAGTCTTCTGATAGGAAGTATCTCCTAATTTGCACATCAGGTTTGTTTTGAATGTAAGTTTAGGTGGCTGAAGTTACTAACTAGTGAATATGACAAGAAAAAAAAAATGCCTTGGGTGATGGCTATATTAGATTTTTCAGAACTTTTACATTCCTAAGTAAGAGAACCTTCTTATCAGGGATTCATTGGGATGAGGAACAGAAAAAGTAAAACCTGCTTTCATCCTCTCTCTGGCCAAGGTCGAGGTCACACTCACTCGTGCCCAGTGGGGCGCATCCAGCATGGCTTCCAGAGTGGCTTCATTTGCATTGAGTCACATTCAAACTCAATAGCTGTTTCAGTCATTCTATATAATTGAAGTGTAGGGTGTTCTTGAAAGGCGGAGCATTCTAGAAGTGTTACCAATGGCTATTAAAACCTCACAGCTAAGGTTACTGTTTTACTAGGGACCTCCTAGGCTTTTAAGAGAAAATTCTGACCATAGTCTCTCTGGGCTCTTGCACTGACCCCAACTAAGGCAAGGCCGAGAACACTCGTGTTCGAAAATCTGAGTGACATCTTGATGATATTGTCAGCATTCTAAGCTAGTAGCGAGTCTAGTGCCTCTAAAAGTAGATAAGACGCTCTTTCTCCAGAAGAGGAAAAGGCCAGGAACACGCCTGCCCATAAATGTGACGTTTATAAGGCTTCCCACTGCCACCCCGACGTGCGAATTCCTTGTTGTAAAGTACGCATTGTTGGGAAGAAGCCCAGCGAGGGCATCTATCTGTGGAGCATGAGGCGCCGTTTCTTTAACCAAGTTGTATCATCATGTCACCCAGTGTTTCAAGAGTGTGTTACTGTCCCAACTTGCTGGCCTTGGCATGAATCAAGTCACCTGAGCCTCTGCCACCCCCCACCCCCCCCGCCCCCCGGAGCTATTTTTCTACCTGGACCATACTGGTCCTGGGCCCCTGTCTGCAGCCTCAAGTCTCCACCCCTTCCCTCTCTCCCTGGGACCAAGGAGAGGTCCCTTCCATTAGAAAACTGGTCTGGACTGTCCCAAGAATTATGCTAATGGATGGCTCCATTCTCAAGGCACAGACCGGGTGCTGAAAAGGTAATGGCCTATGAAAATAAATGACTAATTCCTGTAAAAAGGTCACACGCCCCGGCCTCCAAGTTCAAAAGCCTTTTTTTAAAAATTAAACTTTTAAGGCCCATGTAGGTCAAGTGCTAGACCGAAAACTGTAGACAGTGTCAGCTCCCCACGCCAATTAAGTAAAATCTCATCTTTCACTTTGTGTCGGGTGAAAACAGAAAGCAGAACCGACCACAGACGAGCTTGTGTTTCAGAGCCCCGAGTGTCGCTTGCTTACCTGTACACCCTTCGGTCCACCTGCTGTCATCTATTTACAAAGTAAATGTCTTATTTGTCCATCCGTGCTTGGTCATAATAAAAATATAGGTGAAACCTACACTTCGGGGAAAAAAAATAAAACCTTCAGGGCTGGCCTGCTGCTAGGTTGGAAGTTGAAATAAAGCCTGACCTTGCTTCATACATTTCTAGGACAATAGTCCCAATTGTCCTTGCTTGGAACATGTGTCCGTATGTGACATGGGACTGCTTCAGTCCCTTCAAAGTTGGGGGGCCATAGCTCTCTAGAAGGGTGAGTCAATGCAGGGACTCCGGAAGTAGGACTCCTGGTCATGCTCACTATGGGGGTGTGCGGTGTCGAGGTGGTGGGAATGACTCTTGACCTTGTTCGTCTTAAATGCAACGCGCTCGTGTGCGGCCACATTGGCGGCAGAAGGAAGGCCCCGTGGGGGAGTGAGCCTCACCACAGTCTCGTGCACCAGTCTTTTAAAATGACAGTCAATGAAGAATCCAATTCCACCGAGACATTTTTATTTAGTACAGAGAGAGCGACCGCTCGGCCCTGCCTTCAGCTAGTTTCTGTTCCCACCCGCGTGGGGGCCCCTCTCCGCCGCCCCCCGGCCCGCCGTGGCCTCCCTGTGGGCCTGGCAGGCGGGCTGCCGGCCTTCTCCGCGTCGCCTGCTTTCCTTGGGTGGGAACTGGAAACCCACAGCACCGGTCCCTGTGAAGTTTTCTCCTTCCCCCAAAGAGGGTATACTTTGGCCCCCGCGTGGAGGGGACGCGGGGAGAGGACAGCCGGGCGGGCAGCAGCTGCAGGAGGCTCTGGCAGGCAGCGCGGCTTCCTGCTCGCCACTCCAAGTGTTCTTTGGTGACTTTGTCTGTTGTCCTTTCAGATCCGTAGAGAGCCCTTGTAGGATGGGGGTAGAGGAGCACCTGGAAGGGCCAAGAAAAATAATAGGTGATCTTCACGTCACACGTTTTCTCACTTAGCCCGACACGGCCGGGGGAAGCGGGATTTCAGCTGTCCCCGCACGGTCAGCAGCGACTGGCCATTGCAAAGCCCAGACGGTGCAGCCCACCCGCCGGGGCCCCCGGGGGCTCTGGGACCGGCAGGGGCTTCCCGGCGGGTGGGCTTTCTCCCTCCTGCGCGCGCCCCCTCCAAAAAAGCAAAACTAAACAGAACACGCAAACTTTTCTTGAGTCGTGCAGGAGTGGGGGACGCGGGACGGGCCGCCCGGCGGGGCTTGTCGCCTCCCTCGGCCGCGGGGTCCGCTCCCCGCCAGGCAGTGGCCATGTCTTAGCCTCCTTGCCTCGCTGCCCCGGCTCACCTGCGCACAGGTGGGCGGTGTGGCCCCAACACGTACTGAATGAATGAATGAATGAATGAATGAATGACCGGGTCGCCCTGAGCCGGCACTCAACCAAGGTCCGGGACGCCGAGCGGCGGGGACTTGGGGCGCCGCCTCGCCCGTGCTCTCTCCTGCATCCTCGCGCGCCGCGAGCGCGTGTTTACTGGGACCTCAAACAAGTTCACGTTCAATAAACTACTTTTCCCTCTGTTGCAGGGGCAGCCCCGCGGCGCCCGGGCCGGGCCTCCGCCGCCCGCCGCCGCCGGCCACTCTCCGGCCCGGAGGACGCCGGGCACCCCGACTCCGCCGCCGCGTAGCGTGTCCCCGCCGGCGCCGCGCGCCCTCGCCCCGCTCCAGCTGCGCCGCCCGCCCCGCGCGGGCTCCGCGTCCCCGGCTCGCCGGCACCTACCGCCGCGGGCGCGCGCCGCCGGGTGGGGGGTCCCCGCGCGCGCCGGCCGGAGCCGGAGGTAAGAGGCGCGCGGCGGGGAGGCCGCGCCGGCGCACGCTCTGCACGCCGCCCAGGGCCACACCACTCTCCGAAAATCGGGAGGCAGGTCTGGGAGGCGGGGTCGAGCGCCCCCCGCCTTGGGCGGCCCCGCGCCCCGCGACGCGGCGCCCCCGCGCCCCCCGGCCGCGCCCGCGCCGCCCGCACATCGGCCCGCACCCCCGGGGTGCGCGGCGCCCCGCTCCGGCGCGTCCCCGGCGGGCCGATTTTTCGGCTTCCCCTTCGCTTTATAGGGGCCGCCGCCGTGGGCCGGTCCGCTCGGGCCGGGCGTCATCGGCGGGTGAGGCGCGCGGCGCGCGGCGGGGACTCTCAGTCGCGTCGGCACCGCGGAGCGGGCTGCGTCAGGTGGCCGGCCCGGCGCTGTCCGCTCCCCGCTGGCCCCGGCTCGGGCTGCGGCGCGGCTGCAGGACCCCGGCGGGGCGGCGGGCGGCGGGTGCGCCCCGCTCTCTGTAAGTCCGGCCGCGCTCCGCGGGCGTGCGAGTCCCCGGCGCGGGCGACACCGCCGGGCCGGGCCGGGCCGGGCCGGGCCGGGCCGGGGCAGCGCGCCCTGCCCCGCGCCGCCGGGCGCCCCGACCCGCTCTTTTCTCTTTTTCCCCGCGGCCGCGCGGGCCCCGAGCCCGACGCCGAGCGCCTGCGGGGAGCGGCGCGCGCGAGCCTTCGCGCCGCGGCACTTTTCTTTTTTGAGTTGTTTGACATTTCTCGGGGCTTTTTGGTTCCTCGCTGTCGCCGGGTGCTTTTTGGTGCGCGCTCGCCCCTCTGCCGTCGGCTCGTCTTTTTGGCGCCCCGTCCCCGGCGGCCGCCGCCCTCGGCGGGCCGGGCCGGCGCAGCGCGGATCGCCGCGGAGCCCCCGACACGGGGCGCACGGGGGCCGGACAGCCCGAGGCCGGGGGCCAGCAGGGCGCCCCGCGGCGGCCCCGCCAGCATGCTGAGGATGGCCCTGCGGATCCGAGCGCGCGCGGCGGGGAGCGAGAAGCCGCCGGCGGCTGCCGCCGAGGGGGCTGCCGAAGCTGTGGCGGCGGCTGCGGCGCTGGCCGAGCCGAGCGCGCCGCCCGCGCCGCGGAAGAGCGGGACCCCCGGGACGAGCGGGAGCCCCGCGACGAGCGGGAGCCCCGCGAAGAGCGCGCCCCCCGCGAAGAGCGCGCCGACGCCGGCGCCCGAGCCCGAGCGGCTGCTGACCGACAAGGAGCGCAGGAAGCTGGAGAAGAGGCTGCGGGAGCAGCGGCGCAAGGAGGAGAAGGCGCGCGACAAGGAGCGGCGCCGGCGCGAGAAGCGCGAGAGGCGCGAGAAGGCGCAGGAGCGGCGGCAGCAGCAGCAGCGGCCGCGGCGCGGGCCGGGAACCGACGCCCCGGGGGCCGCCCGCGCCCCGGGGGCCGCCGACGCCGCCGCCAGCGACGCCGCCGCCGAGGGCGGCGCGGGGGGCGCCGGCGGGGCCGCCGCGGGGGGCGCCGGCGGGGCCGCGGGCGCGAGTAGGGCCTGGGCCGCGTGGGGCGCGGACTCGGGCTCCGAGGACGACGCCGACTACTACCGCGCGCCGCGCGTGGGGGGCGTCGTGTGGCGGCCCGGGCCGCGCAAGGCCGGCGCGCTGAGCGCCCCGCTGCCGCTCGTGGTGCTGCTGGTGTTCTCGGTGCGCGGCCCCTCGTGGGCGCTCAGCCTGCTGCTGCGCCGGCGCGCCGAGCGGGGCCGCGGCTGCGGCTTCGTGTTCGGGGCGACCTGCTGCTTCCGCGTGTTCCTCGGCTGCGCCTTCTTCTCCTACCTGGGCGGCCGCGCCGGGCGCAGGGGCCGCGCGCGCCCCGGGGCCGGCGGCCCGGGCCCGGGCGCCCCGCGCCGGGGGCGCGCCGAGCGGCTCATCTAGCCGGGCCCGCCGCCGCCCGCCGCCGCCGCCCCCCCGGCCCGGGCGAGTGTGCTGGGGCGCGGGCCCCCGCCCGCGCCCCCCGCGGCCCCCCGCCCGCGCCCCCCGCCCCGCGCCCCCCGCCCCGCCGCCCGCCCCTTCCGCCCACCCGGCCCCGGGGCGCCGGGGGGCCGCGGCCGGGGGGTGGAGCGTCGGCGCCGCGCGAGGGGTCGGCCCCGGCCGGGGCCGCCCCCCCGGCGGGGGCCCCGGCCGGGGGCGGGGGGCGGCGCCCCGGGCCGGCCCGGGCCGGCGCGGGCGCGGGGACCCCCGCCCGGCCGCGCGCGCCCCCCCGCGCCGCCCTCCCGCCGGCGCGGCCGCCCGGCGGCTCAGGCCGCCGCCTCCTCGCGCCGCCCCCGCGCCCGCCCCCCGCCTCCCCCGCCCGCCGCGGCGCTTTTGGGTCGGGGCGGCGGGGCCCGGGCCGAGGCAATAAGAGCGGCGGCGGCGGCAGCGGCGCCAGCAGCTCCCGCGGCTCCTGCTCTCGCGCGCCTCGCCCGGCGGCGCCTGCGGCCCCCTCGGCTCCGGCTCGAGGGGCGGGGAGCGGCGCGCGGCCCCCGGCCCGACCGCCACCGCCAGCGCCCGCCCCGCGCGCCCCGCGGCCCGCCGCGCGCCCCCGCCCGGCGCCCCCGGCCCGCGAGAGGCCGCCCGCCCGCCCGCCCGGCCCCGGCCCCGGCCCCGGCCCCGGCCCCGGCCCCGGCCCCGGCCGCGCCCCGCCGCCGCCATGGGCTGCCTGGGGAACAGCAAGACCGAGGACCAGCGCAACGAGGAGAAGGCGCAGCGCGAGGCCAACAAGAAGATCGAGAAGCAGCTGCAGAAGGACAAGCAGGTCTACCGCGCCACGCACCGCCTGCTGCTGCTGGGTAAGGGCGGCGGGGCCGGCCCGCCGGCCCGGCCCGGCCCGGCCCGCCCGGCCCGCCGGGGCCCTCGGCGCCGCGCCCGCCCGCCCGCCCCCATCCCCGCCCCGCGCCCCGCGCCCGGCCGCCCGCGGGCCCCGCGGGGCGCGAGGGGCTCCGGGGCGCGTCCCGCCGCCGCGGCCGGGGGGAGGGGCGGCCGGGCCGGGCCGGGCCGGGCCGGGCCGGGCCGGGCGGGCGGGCGGGCGGGCGCGCGAGGCCGCGGGGACAGGAAGCCGCGGGGACCCGCCTCCGTGGGGCGCGGGGGGGCCGCGCCGGGGCCCGGGGGGCGCCGCGGGGGGCGGGGGGCGCCGCGGGGGGGCGGGGGCGCCGCGGGGGGGCGCGGCCGTCGTGGCGCCGGGGCGGGGGGCGCGCGGCGCGGCGCGGCCGGGGCGCTCGGGGCGGGCGCGGGGGTGCGGCCGGGCCGGGCCGGGGACCCGGGCGCGGGGCCGGGCCGGGGCCCCGGAGCCCGAGCGCCGAGCGCCGGGGGAGCCAAGTGACACGTCATTTTTACAGTATGACCTTATTTTCCCCTCCAGACGCGCAGCTCGCTCGAAAGAGACGAGAATTCGCGGCGGCCGCGGCCCCCCCGCGGGGCGCCCCCCGACAGGCCGCGGGCGCGCGCTCCCCGCCGGGCGGCCGCGCTGGGGTGCTTTGTGCAAAAAGGGGAAAAAAAGGACATTCAGAGCAGATAGCGCTGGAAAATGACATTTGTCTGGAAATGGCTTCTTGGTCTGGAAATGGCGTGGCGGCGGCCGTGTTTGTCCTCTCGGGGGGAGGGGGCGCGGCGCTCGGGGGAGACTTTCTTTCCAGGTGGAAGGCGCCGAGGAGACACTAATGAGTTGTTTGTCAAGTGACATTTGGTTGTTTGGTTTGGGGTTTTCTCCTCTGATTGCGGTTTTTCGTCTTTGGCCAAAAAAAGAGGGGGGGGCAGTGGGGGGACTCTCAGGAGATGGCCTTCCCTCCCCTTTTTCCCTTTGAGGTGCTGCTTTGGGGATAAAACAAAAGAAAAGAAACGTAACCTAAAAGAAAGGGTCGAGATGACAGGAATTACACAAGCATTAATGAGCGTGGAAGTTTTCCACTTCCTCGGTGATTTGGGCCTCGGAGTTAATTTGTGAATTGGCGGGTGCAGACCTCGCTCACGGTCACATCCCAACCAAACAGCTCGATTATGAAGAATAAACGTGCAAAGGGCTGGTTTTTTTCCTCTGGTGGTGTCGGTTTCTTTGTTTGCTTTTTTTGTTTTGTTTGTTTGTTTTCTGATGGGTCAAGTCTTTGTTCTCCGGGGTCCAGATTTATATAAAGCAGAAAATTATTACGTGAAAATAAGTCTTTCGGGTGCTTATGTATTTGCAATTGAAACAATCTCATGGTATCACGCTGTGGTCTTCTCTCAAACTTCCAAAAGTAAAATTATGCTATGTGAATATTAATATGCATCCAATTTGATTTCAAAGCATCAGCCTAGAACAGTCTAGAAGCCTCCCCAGGAAGGCTGCCTCGCCAGCTCCACACTCACTGAAAACAAGGGAGCTGCTAATAGACCTTAAATTTTTAACACCTTTGGTGCAGTGATTACAAAGTCTCCACTTAATTTGAGACTGTTACTCTGACACACCTTGCATCACTGTGGCTAACCTGCCCCAGGTGCTCGAGTGCGCATTGGCTACAATTTATCAGGATTTCTACAATTTATCAGGATTTCTTGACAGCCCCAACCGCTGGGCCTAAGTCAGTGACACCTTCTTTGCCAAATAATGCTCCCCCCCACCGCCAAGAGGAGACTAATCAATACCCCAAGGTTTCTTTGTACCCCAAGGCCTTACAAATTGAGTGACCAACAGCACCACAAAAGCTCTTGCAGTAATTTTTCAGCCCCGTTCTCTGATTTCCTAAATGAGGAAACTGAGGCACCGGCCTGCTGGTGCCAGGAAAAGGGAGGGGTCCACATGTTGCCACTGCTGAAGTAAGAAAACTGGCAAGTCTGCTGAGCACCGTGTAGTCTCCTCTTGGAATCTCTTAATAGTGCCTTGAATATTTTAATTTACGAGTCAGGTTCATTAAGATCGAGTGTTTGCTTTGAAATCAATGTTTCTGTGGAAACTAATTTTACCTTTTGCAGATATTGATCACAGCCTCGTGAAAAGGCAAGCGAAGGAGGAATGCTTTGCTATCTGGGCAGTAAAAAAAAAAGATTAAAAGTGAAAAAGAAAGAAAAAAAAAGGGGGGGGGTTAAAACCAAACGGGTTTGTGTGGGAGGAGGGCAAAAAAACTTCACAGGGATTACTGGGAGAGACCGTGCATTTGCAAACAAGAAATTAAAAAAAAAAAAAAAAAAACCAACCAAAGCCATCAAGCAATCCTCCTTCTAGCCGGGTGGAAATGTGTTTCTCCTATAAACTGTATTTTTACAAATGAAAGGGGATTTAAAATGGAGGCATGTGTTTCTTTAATGGGGAAGGGCTTGGGATATTTGAAAAATCAGTGGTTTCCAGGAATATTTTTCCTTAGGATGAAAATCTTGCCCTGCTCATACTCTCACAGTTGCATGTTAATAAGGTGGTTCTCCAGCCCCATTTGATATTACAGTGTGTTTTTCGAGAAGATGACAGAAAAATTGATGGTCTCCATTTTCCCCTGCAAACGTGGTGGTCCTATCCAGAGAGAATTTATCTTTAGAAAGATACAATTTGCAGGGGGAAGAGGGGGGGGAGTGGATCGCATGCAATGGTGCAGTTTTAGGGGGAGTGAACGCGGGATCCAGTCTTTGTGGCTGGGGGAGGGCGGGAGCGCGCTGCGTCAGGACGAGCAGACTGCGGCTGGGCATTGTTTGCGAATCCTGGGTGTCTTAACCATGAAACATCCGACAAACAACGAATTATGTGGCATCTACACTGATGGGGACGTTGTCCCGGGGAATGGTCACGTTCCAAGGATTCAGTTTCACGGTTTTCGCTTCAATTTTCAAACACCCCCCCCCCCCCAAAAAAAAAAAATTGCGTCATTCCTTCTGGGCCCCTTGGCTTCCCCACCCTGCAAATTTTCAAACAACCCAAAGGGGTGGGGGCGAACCAAAACCACCGACAAAACACCAAAACCTTTCATTCTTGTTATTCGGATGGTGAAATGCTGCAGGTCCACCCAGAGCTGGACTTTTTATTTCATTTCTCTGCGTCGAAATGGCCAAGAAAATGGCAAGCCTCTTATTTTGTTTGTTTGTTGCGTGTGGCTTCTATGGAGAACACAGTCCTCTCCCTGCCCAAAGTGTGTGCAATGCCTCCTCATAACCTGAGACTTACTTTCATTTTCTAGGTGCCGGAGAATCTGGTAAAAGCACCATCGTGAAGCAAATGAGGATCCTGCATGTTAATGGGTTTAATGGAGAGTAAGTGTCAAATCTGTGAAGGGCGAGGTCACACATTTTTACTAACCTTTAGGAAGTTTAGGTAGGGTGTGGGGCTGGGCAGCCAATTCTCACTTAGCTTTTTCAGCTTACATACTAGAAAACCCTGGGCAGAGCGTTTTAGGGATTCCCCCCTCCCTGCTCTTAATCGTTGGTGCAGAAGCTAATAATGATAAATAATCATGCCCCTGTGTTGTCGAGCTCTCCCCTTCCCTAGGAAATCAGCGCCTGGTTGGCCCCGTGACAGGTTTGCCGCAGTGAGTCTCCAACATGGCTGACACCGGCCTTGGCCACCCCTTTGTAGGCGAGGACGCTGACCGCTGCAGAGAGGGGTCCCCCACCCTGCGCTAGATTCTAGCGCAATGCGCCAATGCAGGATGCTGGGAACTCTCAGGGCGACGGTGTTTCCGTAATCCCACCTGAAGCGAAGTTGCAAGAGGCGGCCCTTGTTCATAATTCCTTACTTCCCCCCTTGGAATTAACATTAAGGGCAAATCATTGTTTCCCTTTTTTAAAAAAAATCAATAGTGTCGCCTAAAAAAAAGAAAACAAAAAAGGAAACCTGTAGGTGGAGGCAAGACCCGAGCTGGCCCTGCGGGCGAGGCCAAGGGGCACTTTTGCCTTTGAAAAGTCCTTGCAGGCCCTCGGGCCAGCGCCCGGAGACAAATACCGCAAGGGGCAGAAAGACGGAGAGAGCCCTCTCGGGCCGGGGCCGCACATGGGGTCACTCTTGCCATGAAGAATTCTCCCGCCTGGAGTTGATTGGGGACGGGGCAGTCCTTGGCAGTCCCTTCCTTTTGAGAGGGGGCTGTTGAGGCGGGGGAGTGCAGCTTCATTCCCTAAGCCCCCCGCAACACCACCAGGATAAACCTCGCTCCCCTAGTAAGCACCAGGGAAGTACAGATTTAATCACCTTTTGGGGGTGACTAAAAGGCAGTCTTTATGGAAAATTCTAGAATTCCTTAGATGGAGGGGGGAGGGAGAAAAGGATGACATCACCAGACAAATGGGCATTTTGGTTTAGAATGCCTTTTTTTTTTTTTCCCTTGAACCTTGAATTCAGAAGGACACGGGCTATTTTACCACTTTTCTGAAGGCCTCCCCGTGCTCAACAGGCATCTATTTGCTGTTAAGTCCGTCACCTTCAACTGTCACAAACCAATCCTGAAATCCCTAATTCCTGACACACCCTTCCCTAAAGCCCGGCCAACTGAGAGGGCCGGAGGTCAGTACACAAAAGCCTCCACGCTGACTCTATGAATTGGTAATTAAAAAAAAAAAAAACCCGCATAATATCTCCCCCTGTAATTTGGTGGGATTGCTTCTTCATGAGGCCAGTTAAGCTCAAATAATTGGACCACGTACCCTCTATCTAGATAAATATTTTGATTAAAACTGGACATTGCTAGCATTTTTAAAAGGATGCAGCAGCCGCTGTTTACCTTAGCCTTGTCCGATGGGCGATAAGACGGCCTTGAAATAATTGAAAGTTCTATCACCGGACAGATTGCCCTAATATTTTTTTAATTTTTAGAGAATGGCTCACTTCGGAGAATCCTGTCTGCACTGCAGACGAGGCATTTAAACCAGAGCTTCTCTTTTCTGTTTTCTTTTTCAAAAGGGGAAGCTGCCTTTCCAGCGTGCCGGCTTTGTAGGGGAAGCCATAGGTGGTAGCCTGGAGGATGTTAAATTTAGCCCGTGGATGTAGCATACAGGGGAATTCTTCATGCGAGTGTGGAAGCCTTATTTTTATCTCGTCCACTGAGCCTCCTTTTTTCTTTTTCCTCACTGCGGTATTGCAACAAAAGTGGTTTCCTTCCTAACTAGGAATTCCCTACCAAGCGGTGTGACGTCCATCCACGAGAAGGGTGTTTAATGGGGCTCGGGCCTGCTCCTCACCCCCCTGCAAACGCCGCTTTGTTAGGCTGGGCTGCGCTATTAAATCCGCCTTCACTATCGGCAGCTTGCCGTGCTGATTACATTTTTAGAGTAGCTAGCGTGTAATATTAATCTGACCTTCAGAAATAACAGAGGTCAAACGCGGAGGTTCCTAACTCTGAGCTAACTCTTCCTGACATTTAGTGCCCCAACAAAAAAGTGCCATTAACATTGATGGAGCTACGCTAATCGATTACAAGTCAATTACAAAATGGCTCATCAATTACAAGACCACGTGGCCCGCTCTTGGCCAGCCGGGGCCTCCCACTGCAGGAGGGGCCCTGCCTGGGACAGCCGGGCCTTGGGGGTCTTGGTGGCAGTGGGTTTTATTCTTTCCTTTAATGCTGCTGCTGCCTGGCGGTCCAAACCCGGTTTTAATGGATGGCAATTTGTGGGGACCAGTTATTTTATAAATAAGCATTTTCTAGATCGTCTCCCCGAGTGTGAGGAGAGAGAGGCCCTTCATCTCACCCCAGGAAATCCCGGGCATAAGTCACCCCGGCCCAAGCCTTTGTGTGTTCAGACCCGCCACTGCCAAGATTGAGGTCTGGGAGAATTAAGAGCCTTACGCGCTGCTATAGTCTCCAAAGAATTGCGAGATAAATCGGCGCTGTAGCTCCCTAATGCATGTACATTTAGTGCAAGCGCAAGAAAATAATTACCCGTCCCTCCTGCGCCCGGCCTGCGTCTCCAGGGGCCCCCGACGCCGCGGCGGCGCTGCGGGCGCTTCCCTGGACGGCTGCAGTCTCCGTGGACATTCCGATCTAGCCGGAGAGGGGCCTAGGACTGCGATCGGGGATGGCGGCCCTTAGTTCAGGAATGTAGAGAGGCTGTGTGGGGTTTTTGTGGAAACGCGGTGCCTTGCAGATTAGGTGAGCTTTCAATCTCTCTTTAAAAGGGGCGGCGAAGAGGACCCGCAGGCTGCAAGGAGCAACAGCGATGGGTAGGCACATTCAAAAACAGAACAACTTTTTGACAAACACACACACATGAAGAGCATACTGGGAAACTGAGGGCCGAGGCCGGGCCGGGCCCGGCCCGCTGGAGGGCGGCAGCCATCTCGGTACCCGTGAGGGCAGCACCCCGGGGCAGCGGAGCCCGCCTGGCACTCGGGGGGCATTCCGCAGGCGTAATTAGGTCCAGCTGGGGGGGGTGGGTTATAGATCTGAGCATAGACAATCAGCTTAGGGTTTCGAGGACTGATGTTTTCCCATATGGTTTCTGTTTTCCCCCCGTTTTCCATTTGAATCGGCTACTTGTTTTTAAAACTATCTACTAAATTCCGTCCACCCAGGGGTTGGTCTGACTTTTAAAATTTCAGACCTTTTTAGGGGAAAAAGGTTCCCTCTATTCGTGGCGGTGCTGCTGCGCCACCTCTTTTAATTTTGAGGTGGGCAGATAAAAGCCTCGGCACCGCGCAGAAGGTCATTATTAAGAATGATCTCGAAAAACCGCTGGTCTGTTATCAGTCATTCCAATCCCATGCATTTTATGCCAGCTAGTGGGTAGGAGAGGAACAATGGCGGCCATGTTTTCACCATTTATGATCCGATTGTTCTCTTGGTCACGTCCTGCATCCCCGCCGCCATCACACGCACGCACACACACGCATGGCAGGTAACCCGCGGGGCTCTGCTTGCATATTTAGTATGCAGCGAGGGAGCATCTAATTCTCGTGGGGACGCAGAGCCGGGTGACCTAGCCTTGGGGCACCTCAGAGAAATAGCTTCTGTGGCCGGGGAGGGGAGGGGCAAAGGATCTGGGGGTCGGGACAAAGTGACTGACACATGTTTGTTCATCTGTTTTTTTAGAATGTATTATCCCTAGATGATGATGGCTACAGTTTCTCATCTTCCCGGCTATGTCCCATCACACTTTGCATGCTGGATCCCCTTCTAGGCACTTCTAACAAGAATACTATTCTGTTGCGGGGGAGGGGGGATGGGCCCTACCACCTAACCTCTTAATGATAAGTGGAAAAAAAAAAAAAAAAAAAAAAACCACAAAAAAATAACCAAAAAATAACAAAAATAAAATAAAATCCCTAATTGGCAAAGCTGTAGTGTGACAATCCCAAAAAGGCATCTATGTAAAGTGAGTGATTGACAGTCTACTGTACCAAAAGTTGGCAGATATTGAGAGCTCTGACAAGTCCTTACCGAACAACCTACTGTGTGCTAGATGCTGTGCTACACCCTTGAGCCCTACTAATACCTTGCCTGCACCTTTCTCTGTGACTCTGTTCTACAAGTAAAATACAACTATTAACATGTGATAAATAAAAATTCTCTGCATGTTTCAGCAGTCCCTGTATCCTGCGTCTGTCTTCTGGTCTTCTGTCTTTCTTCTTTTGTCTGTCTTTTCCCACAAAAGCACAAAGATAAGGTGTAGAAGGGAATGAAACTTAGTAGGACAGAGCCTCTCCTACTACTTAGTCAGGCCGGGCGGGGGCGGGCGCGGGGGGGCTTTTAAACAGGGAGCCCCACTCAGCTGCTCTATGGGGCGGTAACCCTGTCCCAAGAGCGTCTCCAGCCCCCGCTCCAATTTTCTCATCAATCAGGACGCTCGCAATTGATACATATTTTGGCTTTCAGTGGGTTAGAGACATGAGGAATTGTCTCTGAGTCTCACAATCAATGTTAAATTCATTAAGTGATAGTAAAAACGATGATAAACCTGCCAGCCCCCAGTATAATATCTCCATCTACATAGTAATTGCTTCAATGGAAGAATTTTATGTTTTAGTATTACACACCCGAATTAGATTTCAGATTTCTATTTTAGCAGTTTTATGCTTGATCTACTCCCACACCTATTCACATACGTAGATGAAAACTGAACACGTTCTCAAAATATCCGTCTTTGAGCCTGGAAGTGCTCCAATTACCCTACTACCACGGGACCAGAATACCACACTGACTGAAAGAACCTCATTTCTGGAGAGACTGCCGCTTGCTCTGTGTGCATTTGGATATTTAATGCCCAGGCATATCTAATTTTACTATTGGGGGGGCCTTCAAAGCAGAGGTTCCTGGCCCTCTGCCCCCCTGGAAATGGAGCCCGTTTTTAATGAATGGGCATGGGTTTGCCCTATGGGATTTTGGGTTACTTTGAGCTCCCTGGAACGGGAGGGGCCACCAAGTGCACGTCCACAGACAAGTAGAAGGTCCAAGCGGACCGTGGGCTGTAGGGACAAGTCTGTATGTGACCCCACTTCCAGAAACTTGAGCTTTGGCTCTGCACCACAAAGCAGGAGAGCCCCCCACCCCTCCCCAGGGGTCAGCAGGGTGTTATAGTGTAGTTGGGGGGGGGGGGCAGCTTTGGCCCAGGCAGGAAAGTGAGGCCCACATGTGGGGGCTGCAGCATGCCCCCTCCAACTGCTCCTAGGGTTCTCCTGACTCCCAAAGCTGCTTAAAAGGCTACAAGGGGGTTCCACTGGATGGTATCATCCAGTGGCCCCACCCTAAAATGACTACATGCTCACCACTGACAAGAACAGCACCCCTAAACCTTGTTCACGCCTCACTCCATATAAAAGCAGTGTCTGAAAAATCTGCCTAAAGCAGGTTTGACCCCAAAGAATGAGATAAGATGTCAGAGGCAAGTACATCTGGTGACATTCAGAAAATGAAGGGCCACACCCCCCCTACTGCCCCCCCTCCCCCAATAACGTATGCAAGTGTTTTTGAATGAATAAGATGCTCAGGCAATAAGAGCAATTATAATTGAAAAAGGAAATGCCAGGTTGGGGGGGTGGGGGTGGGGGCAGAGCCATTGGCAGGTGTGCACCTGAGCCCCTCCCCACCTCCTCCCTGTCCCCCACTAACTGCCCTGAAGCTGTACCTGCTATTAACTCCCCCCCCCCCCCCCCCCGCGTTGAATGTCCTGTCCTGTCCTGTCCCGTTTGCTCTCTGCCGCCGCTTACGTGATTAGGTGACTCCACCATAGGAAGGCCTCGCTAACTGGGGGTCTCATGAGATTTCTGAACAGTGGCACACAGGAGATAAGCACTGTCCCTCCCCCAGCCTAGGATTCAGGGGTTCTGCCTCAGTTTCCTCATCTTTGAGAGTTAACACTTAACTTCCCAGTGACCATGCTGTCACCTCCCAGGGCCAGCACACAGTAGGTGCACTTCGGTTATTCCTCCCCACTCAAAAGCGGGGTTTATACCCCCAGCAAGAGGTGATCCCCTAAAAATACAAAAAATACACACTGCAGTCTAACCCAGCCCCCACTTTAAGGAGAACTGCTTCTGAAAGACGCACAGCATTGATCGATGCATTCAGGTGCAGACATTGTGTGGGGGTCCCGGTGACCCTGGCTAGCCTGTTACATCCAAGTTCAAATCCGCATTAAACAGCGAAACTTCTAACCTCCACTTACAGGGGCCCCCTCCCAACACAAGTCTGATCATAAAGACTGGGGAGCAAAACCTTACTCCCATTCACTCTGGGCGCCCTGTATATTAACATCACCCGCCAGGAGCACTGTCGTCACTGCTGACGCCATGCCCTGGGTGGTGCCTCGGTGGGCAGACACAGCTGCTTAGATAAATCACGTACGACAACGCGATAAATAACAGGCCCCCCTGGGATCCATCACGATCCTGCAGCAGCATCAATGATGGGGGTTCCTGGGGGTGAGGACACCTGGGGACCAAGCCCTAGGTCAAACCCTCAGCCCCCTCATCAGGTACCCCCCCCCTAGACAGGGATGTTGATGAGGGCCAGGAGGAGCCTCTTAGGGAGCAGGTGTTTGGGGGCCTCCGCCCATGGGAGCCCCACTTGCGGTACAGTGGTCTCCGTCATGATCTCGATGCCTTTCCGCCCCCACCAGGTGCCTTTGGGACACACTGGGGTGGTGACGATCTGAAACCGATTCAGGGACCTCCATTTGCACAGATCTGAACCCACAACTCCTTCAAGAACAGAATACTATGCTTTTAGTGGGCAAGACTTGGCTAAAGTGGCCCTGCTGGCCCACGTGATGCAATATGGTCTTTTTCTTTTCCATCCCACTGCAGTGAGAAGGCCGCCAAAGTGCAGGACATCAAGAACAACCTGAAGGAGGCCATCGAAGTAGGTGCTCACACCCCTCCCCGCCCCCACCCCTCCCCCAGGGCAGCCCCTCACCTCTCTGCCCTGTCGCTTGCAGACCATTGTGGCCGCCATGAGCAACCTGGTGCCCCCCGTGGAGCTGGCAAACCCTGAGAACCAGTTCAGAGTGGACTACATCCTGAGCGTGATGAACGTCCCCGACTTTGACTTCCCTCCCGTAAGCTAAGCCCTGGGTGGGTGGGCCAGGTCCCTGGGACCCCATGGCACAGGGGGCACCACCGGGTTTGCTCAGCGCCCACCTGTGTGTCACACAGGAGCGGAGGGACACTCGCCCAGGCTTGTGTGTCAGAGTCGAGTGCATTCTGGTGACATTCATTCTTAGGATGACACTCATTCTAGAAGGATCCTTAGAATTTCAAAACAATCACAGGCCTGGCGCACCCTCCCACAGCCACAGCACGCTCTGACGTTGCAGTCCTTACCATCGGAGCTCTGATGAGGGAAACAGCCCTCGCGGACCCCTGGGCGCCCGCACCCCAGCCACACACTCCAACTGCGACAGGGTGGTCCCCAGGAAAAGGGGAGGTGCCAGGTTCCCTGCCCCACCCACGTTCCCAGTTAGTCCAAGAGAAGGCGCCCCCACAATTCACCTAAATCCTAAGTCCTGGGTCTCCTGGCCGGCCCTAGTTGCCGAGCCTGAGGCTGCTGCCCCGCACAGGCCTGCTGCGGCCTCTGGCCAGCGCCCATCACAGCCCCCCGGTACTTCAGACCTTCCTGGCCGGGATGTGGCGCCCCTGAGGCTCACAAGTGACATTCCGTGCCAGACATGGGCCTCCCCAGCTCCGCTGCGCCCCCGGGGAAAATAGGGGCGGGGGATACCCAGAGCCGGCCCGTAGCAGGAGCAGGGGCGACCCATGCCGCGCGGAGAGGCCGGGGCTGCCCGGGCTCCCTGGCCGCATCCTCGCCCTGCCCGGCGCAGGGGGCGCGGGCCCGGGCCTGGGCGGCGCAGGGGCGCGGGGCGCGGGGCGCTGACGCCCCCCGTGTGTTCCCCTGCAGGAATTCTACGAGCACGCCAAGGCTCTGTGGGAGGACGAGGGCGTGCGCGCCTGCTACGAGCGCTCCAACGAGTACCAGCTGATCGACTGCGCGCAGTAGTGAGTGCGCCCCGCGCGCGGCCCCCCGTCCCCAGGCGCCCCAAGTCGGGGCCGGGGGCTCCTTCCCTCGTCGCCCCACCCCACCTGCACTTAGAAAGTTCTGGTCTGGTTCACTTGCTGGCTCAGGCCCTCACTGCACTTCGAGCGAGCGCAGCGACATTATTTTACATAAACAAGGGACGCCTGTGCGAGCAAAGCGATAATTACTTGCAGCCAAGTATGAGGTTCGGCATTAATTAGCTGGAGGGACTAGCCCGATGGACCCGAGCATCTGGGGAGATGGGGCAGCCCCCCCCCCCCCGGGACGTGGCAGCGCTGAGTGTCCTGCGAGAGCCGGGGGAGCCCCAGGACGAAGGCGCCTCCTCCTGAGTGGCCGCCGGGCTTGGCTCGTCCAGATCCGGGGCGCATGGCCGCCAGGGTCCCCCCGGGGTTCTGGGGCGCCCCAAGCCTGGGAACTTCAGTGGGAACTAAGTGGAAGGCCAGGAGGGAGGACGGGGAGCAGGTCCTCGGGCGCGGCCTGGGTCGGGGGGACCACGGGGTCCCCCCGCCACTGCCACGGGAAGCGCCTCGAGCGTCTCCCACCCGCCCCGGGCGGCCCGGTGCCTGGACCCGCTTGGACCCGCTTGGCCCCGCTTGGACGGGCCGAGCGTGCGTTTTTCCAAGGGGCAGAAAAACAGCCCCTCGCCGGCCCGGGCCGCCCCGCCCGTCCAGCGAAGTCCCTGGTTTTCTCCAAAGTTCGGGCTGGAAGCTGGAAGCGCTAATTATAGTAACGCCAAACAAATGGAAATCCTGGAATTGTTTGGTCTGTAGTTTGGATCCGAGTCAGAAGGGCAGGTACGGGCCGGCCGGCCGGGGGGCGCCCGGGGTGTCGGGCCGGCCGCCCCTGGGAAGGGGGTGTTCCCCGCGGGGCCACGTGCCGCTCCGAAATGGCCCCGCGGGCGGGGAAAGTTCCCGGCCGGGCCGAGCGCGCCGCGCCGGGCCTTTAAAATGTCCGCCGGGCGCGCGGGCCGGGCCGGGCCGGGCCGGGCCGGGTCGGGCCGCCGCCTGCGCTGGGCCGGGCTGGCCGGGCTCCAGGCGGCTCTCGCAAGATTCGGGGCTGAGGAGCTATTTATAGCCTTGTGGTTCTGTTGCCATGGCAACGCGCTGGCGGCCAGGGCGGCTGGAGCTATTTCTGGCCGCGCGGTAATGTCAGCCGGGAGGGCGGGGTCCCCGGCGCGGGGGCGGGGCGCGCGGGGGGAGCCCTGGGGGGACCCTTCCCCCGCCGCCGGCCGGCCCGCCCCTCCCCCGCCGGCCGCCCCGACTTTCAGTTCCCGGAGGCTGGGCCGGGCCCCTCCAGCCGGGCTCGGCCTGCGGGGGCGCCGGCGCTGTGCTCGGGCCGCGGGGGGCCGCGGGGAGGGCGGGGGGCCGGGGACCCCAGCCCCGCCCCGCAGGAGGAGCAGGCCCGGCGGGCGGAAGGGCCTGCGTGTCGCTTCCTGCCTGCCGGGCGGGAGGCCTCCGTGCCAGCCGCCTGCCTTTGTTCTGGGCGTGAGTGAGATTCTTAAAAAGTAGAAGGAAGGGAAGGAAGGGACACCCATCCTGGAGCCTCCCCGGGGCGGGGACTCTGCTGCCACGGCCACCATTTTCTGTGTGTGTCTCTCTTTTTTGAAAGATGTATTTATTCATGCATACCAGAGCTGGGGTACGGGCCAGAGGTGGGGGGTGAGAGGACTCACCAGGGACAGAGTGGGGAGCAGAACAGGCAGACGGACCGAGATCCACTGCTGGGGGGAGCAGCGGGGAGACAGGAGGGTCTGCTGCGCCGGGTGGGTAGCTCCCTGGCTGGGGATAGCTTCACAGGTTGCGTCTTAACCCTTGCGCCACCAGGGAGGGCCTGTGTGTTTTTTCACATGAAGTGACACCAAGTATATAATTTTAAAATGACTTGCCATTTTAGGCAAAGCCAAACAATTCAAAGTTTTAAACTTTTTGGTTAAAATTAAGAACAGAGCCCCCACTGTCCCCTGCTGAGCCTGTGGGCCAGGGCCCCTGTGAGTCCAGCCCGCTGCTGTTTCTTGATCCCACCAGTCCCCCAGATAACAGTCATCTTGAATTTTCATTAAAAAAGAAAATTTGCCTTGGGCCTGAGCTCTCTGAACACCCCCATGTGTCTGTCTTTCCTCCCAGCTTCCTGGACAAGATTGATGTCATCAAGCAGGCTGACTATGTGCCTAGCGACCAGGTGAGCGTGGGTCTCACAGCGGGGACCTGGGGCCCTCCTTGTCAGATAGTCAAGCTTCTTGCTCCCCGTTGGTGATTATTAACATGTCATTGGTTTCCATGAGGTCCACTGACCCAGGTTTCATTTTAGGACCTGCTCCGCTGCCGCGTCCTGACTTCTGGAATCTTTGAGACCAAATTCCAGGTGGACAAAGTCAACTTCCAGTAAGTAGATGGCTTCCATTTATTTAAAAAACAAGTTAAAGTTGCTTCTTACAGAGGGGTGGGCCAGAGTCGGTTCTTTGGACTTACCAGGCCCTCTTTTCTCCCACAGCATGTTCGATGTGGGCGGCCAGCGCGATGAACGCCGCAAGTGGATCCAGTGCTTCAATGGTATGGACCCCAGGCATTCTGTGCTCCTTGAGAACATTCTGCTTTCTTAATTGCTGAGGGTCAGTATCTATCCCTTTTAATGTGCATTGCTTTTGCTTTCCTCTGCTGAAGATGTGACTGCCATCATCTTCGTGGTGGCCAGCAGCAGCTACAACATGGTCATCCGGGAGGACAACCAGACCAACCGCCTGCAGGAGGCTCTGAACCTCTTCAAGAGCATCTGGAACAACAGGTGTGTGGAGAGAGCCCGGGCTGCCTCCCCTTCACTGATCTCAGCCCCCCAGGCCTGCCTCCCCTCACTAATCTCAGCCTGCACAATAGAATCTTGTGCAAGTCTTTGTGCAAGCATCTCAATGCCCTGCAGAAGGAATGGAGCCTTTTTCTGGGCCTTAAACCTTCATCCCTTTCTGCAGATGGCTGCGCACCATCTCTGTGATTCTCTTCCTCAACAAGCAAGACCTGCTTGCTGAGAAAGTCCTCGCTGGAAAATCGAAAATTGAGGACTACTTTCCAGAATTTGCTCGCTACACTACTCCTGAGGATGGTGAGTATGACCTCCCACGTTGACTCGGACACCTCCCGGCTCACAGGTGCTACGCAGTCACACCTTTGTTAGAAATTCCCATTCTCCCCACTGCCAAGCCATAAAAGACCCATACGGAGAGCAATCCCAATTTATTCCCCCTTATTTACTTATGAAGAAATCCCAAAAGTTAAGGGGTACCAGGATGCCAGCCATCTAGCTTTGCTCTAGCCTGTTAATTATCTTAATCAACAAAATCTTCTGTTCTTCGCAGCTACTCCCGAGCCCGGAGAGGACCCACGCGTGACCCGGGCCAAGTACTTCATCCGCGACGAATTCCTGGTGAGTGCTTACTGTGTCGGGTTCTCTCTCTCTCTCAGGGCATTCCCTGATTTTAACTTTGGGGATTAAACTATCCAGTGCTTCAGTTTTCTTTCACCCATAGTCCATGTGAAAGTTTTATGCCCCTTAATGTAACACGGGTGGCTGGTCACCAGTCCCGGGTAGGCCCCTGGTAGACGGGCCCACTAGAATAGGAAGTTCCCGGAGAGGTGGCTGACCTTGTGCCCGTGTTTGTGCCACAGAGAATCAGCACGGCCAGCGGAGACGGGCGCCACTACTGCTATCCTCACTTCACCTGCGCCGTGGACACTGAGAACATCCGGCGCGTGTTCAATGACTGCCGCGACATCATCCAGCGCATGCACCTGCGCCAGTACGAGCTGCTCTAAGAAGGGAACCCCAAATTTAATTAGAGCCTTAAGCACAATTAATTAAGAGTGAAACGTAATTGTACACGCAGTTAATCACCCACCATAGGGCATGATTAACAAAGCAACCTTTCCTTTCCCCCGAGTGATCTTGCAAAACCCCCTTTTCCCTCCTGCTTGCTTAAATATTCCAAATTTAGAAAGCTTAAGGCGGCCTACAGACAAAAAGGAAAAGAAAAAGAAAAAGGCCACAAAAGTTCCCTCTCTCTTTCAGTAAAAAAATAAAAGCAGCAAACAGAATTAAAGAAATGAAATAAAAGAAATAAATAAAACAAATAAATATTGTCTTGTGCAGCATTAAAAAATCAAAATAAAAATTAAATGTGAGCAAAAGAATGTGACTCCAGTGGGTTATTTGCGACTTCGCCCATTTGCAAACACCCATTGTTTCTTGTTTTATCTGTCAAAATTTCCGAGGCAGACCCCTTGTTGACGTGATAAGGCCTGTGGTTACAGTGGGTGTAAAGTCTTGCCACATTTCTTGTTGACTTAATCTTTGGGGTTCTGAGAAAACAATTGGATGATACAAAAAGTCTCCTCTTGTCCTCCCAAACCAGTGTCCCATAGTTAACCAGTTGGCCCCATCAAAGAACCGTACACTTTGCTCATTTTTGTCCTATCTGGAGATCCTACTACCGCACACCTTGACTTGTCACACAGTGCGTCCATTCACCCAGAGTCATCCCGTAACAGAGGCCGGGATTTCTTGCTCTCGGTCCAGCTTTAAGCTATGGAGTCATTATGAATGGAGGCAATTACAGTGTTTCAAATCAGTCAGGGAAAGTGAATTATTCAAGAAATGGTTCCCCGTGCTTATATACGTCAAATCCGTGCATGCTTTTTATCTCACAGTCTCGTTTGTCCATTCTATAGTACGGCGGGGGCCTGCATGGGAATGGAGCAAGAGCTATCAAAGACAAAGATGGTGTTGAAACAGCTATTTGGGGAATAATTTTAACCCAGATCCCTACCTCATTCCATGTAACAAAATGAACACTGGATTTTCAATCATATGTTTCAATAAAAAAAGAAGTCTTTGTTTATACCAAGCTTCTCTAAACATGATCTAAGATTCAAAAGCCATAAAAGGGGTTGGGGAAGGGCTATATAAATTTAAATCACATATAGCACAAGACATGAACAGGGTGGGGCAGGGGGATGCAACTGGGTGCAAATACGCAACAACTGTTAGGTTACCTAATAAGCAAAGAACTCTTAAGAAACTTAAGCAAACCCATCACAAAAATAGGTGAAGTACATGAACATGTAGTCTACTTTGGAAAAAAAAAGACAAGCATTGGGAGATATGTCGAACCCCGCTCATAATGAAATACAGATAAACTACTGCCGTGTTGGGGGAGGGGTGATTATCAACGGGCCCCATCTTATGAAGCCCCCATGGGCTGTGGCTTGGATCAAAGGTCCAGTTGGGCTCCTTACTCCGTCACCCCCAGGCTCATCCCTTAAACTGCTGTCACCCAATGAGTGACTTCCTTGATGGAGGGGAACAGACTAGTTTGCCACCCACGTTCATCACTGCAACCTCTGAAACAGGCCAAAGGGGATATTAATCAGGTTGATTCGATAATTCTGCCCCCATCCCATCCACCTGGTGTTCTATTTTCCAAATTTAATTAGTCCCCGCCAAATTAATCATTCAGCATACATCGCTCACTAGAGTTCAGCAAAATGAGCTCCAGAAAGGGCAGAGCAAGCAAAAAATACCCCATCTCTATAACCCTTCACAAAGCTTCCTCTGCAGTAAATACAGTTCACATAAAAATTGTGTGCTTGCTATGGAACATCCCAAATTAACATAAAATGCCCCAAATTGACATAATCTATACATGTCCCTATGTAAAATCTTATAATTCTCCCAAATATCCCAAATAAACACACCTAAAACCTGGGTACCACCTTTCAAGTTAAACTGTAAGACCAACCCACCATGAACACACCCATCATCAACTAAAGGCTATACAAACGGAAAATAAAGGTTCAACATCAGTCCACTGCCCCTTTTCCAAGATGGCCACCTGTATGCCCCTCCTACACTGATATTCTAGAACCTCCTCTAAATAATTTCTTCCAAGATGGTCACCAGTACCTACATACCCCCTATAGATATATTAGCCTCTTCTCTGAATAATCTTTTCCAAGATGGCTGACTGTATGCCCCTCCTACATGGAAATTCTGGAACTTTCTCTACATAAACTCTTACAAAATGGCTGCCTATATGCCCCTCCTACATGGAAATTCTGGAACCTTCTCTACATAAACTCTTACAAAATGGCTGCCTATATGCCCCTCCTACATGGAAATTCTGGAACCTTCTCTACATAAACTCTTACAAGATGGCTGCCTATATGCCCCTCCTACATGGAAATTCTGGAACCTTCTCTACATAAACTCTTACAAAATGGCTGACTGTATGCCCCTCCTACATGGAAATTCTGGAACCTTCTCTACATAAACTCTTACAAAATGGCTGCCTATATGCCCCTCCTACATGGAAATTCTGGAGCTTTCTCTACATAAACTCTTACAAAATGGCTGCCTATATGCCCCTCCTACATGGAAATTCTGGAATCTTCTCTTAATTATCTCTTCCAAGATTACTGCATATATGTTCTTCCTACACGGAAATTCTAGAGCCTTCTCTGAATAAGCCACAAGTTGCCCTAACACTAGCCTCATGCACATCCATCCAAAAATAGAAAACAAATTCCAAGCTCACAGAGCAGTTATATCAAAGAAAATGATACCCCAGAATGTTTCCTCCTCCACCTCCCTGTTCAAAAGTGGCCAAGCCCTCATGATAACTTCTAAAGAGTGTATGAAGTCAGCTGCCTAGCACCTGCTCTGTCCTGCTCACTGACCAATGAGAGAGTTTAGCTGTTGCTGCATTTTACCAGTGAGAAAAAGGAGGCATAGAGAGGCCAAAGTAACTTGACCCAGCAGACATGGCAAGGAAAACAGCGTTCAAACTTGTGTAGTCAAAGCCTGCTACTTGACCTCAACACGATATTGACCCTTTGGAAGATACAGAAAAAAAGGTACCCTCGATTTCTCTTCTGGATGCCCATTGCCAGCAGCCCATGACCTAGGCCCTGAGGAGGAATCCTGCATGGCTGGGGTGGGGGTGGGGTTGTTCTGGGCCCCTGCTGAGGGCGGAGGTGGTGCTGTCTTCCCAGCCAGTCAGGGCTTTGCCAAGGGGACCCTCCATTCACTCAGTTGTGTCTGAAGGTTCCTTTCCTCCCTTAGGATTCGTCCTTTCTACCAAGAACATTTTTGTTTCTGCTTCCCTTTGACCTGCCACCAAACATAACTTTTATAGGGTTCCTTTGAAATCTAAATTCTAGAATCTTTAGGAAGTCAAAAAAATCATTAAGAATTTCTCCTAAATTTTCTGCCATAAGAAGCCATTGGTTTTTAAAATTTTAGTTGAATTTCACATCAATGTTCAAAAGCAAGACATTTTCCTAAAGGTAACAATTTGTGTCACACTTTTAAAAGGGGCTTAGGCCAAATACCATAAATAAGTACTAATGAAGCCCAGTATAAAGAGGGTCTAGATTTGGTCAGAATTTTTATCCATCTTAACTTGTACCTAAATGTGGGAAACTTTGACCAAAAGAAGTGGCTCCCCCGCACAGCCCTCGGATGGCACAGGGCGGCCGCTCAGAACGGCTCCGGGGGCACCTCGAGTCTTCCTGCTCACGTGGCTGGAGAGGGCACAGCTCTCTGAGGGCTTATCCTCTTTACCAAATAAATAATCACAGATGTTGGCCAGGTCCCTGAGCTAGTGAAGAGACTGGGGGGTGGGAAGTGGGAGCTATGTGGGCAGGGAGGGAGGTCCTCCTGGAGGAGGTGACTGTTCTTACGGAAATGCAAAGAACAAGGAGCCACACAGGTGTGAGGCGCTTACACCACAACTTTCTATGAACACTAGCATGAAACTAGCATAATTCACACTCCTGGGCCCCTGCCACGGGTCAGGCCTGATTCTAGGCCCTTGATGTGAATGATCTCATTTAATCTCCTTGAAACCCTATGAACTTGTACCCTGTCTTCTGTACAAGACGGGCCCCATCTGTCCCCCACTGCCCAAAAATGAAAAAGATAAATTAAATACAAAACATTGTGAATAATTTATGCAAATTATGCTCTAAGAACGATTACACGAAAAACACCATTGTAATAACCACTTAATGTGAATAATTGCTACCCAGGTTCCTATTTTAGAGTTGGGGAATTTGTGTCTCTAGGATAATTTTCCTGTGTTTAAACATTTAAGACTGTGAATATACTGTGAATACTGGTTTTGCCTACCTTAGTCTCTGTCTCAGCTCAGGATGTGTTCCGCAAACGACAGACCCCGGAGTGACACCACTCGGTGCTTGTATCTCGCTCCCCTAGGATGATGGCAAGGCCAGGGCCCCGTTATTCTCTTGGCTCCTCTGGCATGGTTGTGAGATGGTATCACGTCTTAGCCCAGGGCAGGCAGGAGAGGAACAGGACGGGCTGGCCAACTCTCTCTTTTATCAGAAATGCGAAGTCTTTCGTAGCTGTCTCCTTCCAGTCTCCTCGCCATGTGAAATACACACAGATCCTAGATCACAAGATAAACAGATAGTTAGACTGACAGAAAAGTACAGCTCAGTATGACTATCTCTCTCTCTCTCTCACACACACACACACACGCATGCACACACGCATGCAGACAATGCTCTCACACACAAGGATTCAGTTTCCTGCTACGTAGACCTTGTAGATGCAACATCTATAGAGATAGAGCCGAGGCCTGTAGTTGTAAAGGGCTAGGGGAGAAAACAGGTCAAAGGAAAAAGCCTCACCATCCAATGTTAAGGCATGGATTTGCATAGTTCTATGCAAGAAAGTTTGAAAACCTAGAAGCACGTACCTTCCCCCCTGAAATACTCTTTATCAAAATTGACTTCTGTGGAGAGATAAAAAACAACAAGCAGACCAGTTGCCATAGGGAAAAAATATCTACAGCTCTTAAATGGAGGGCCTGTGACCACAGGCTCCGAGCTAGTGACTAGAGGAAGCACAAGGGAGGCTTCTGGGTACCAGTGAGTGGGGGTCTGTTTCTTGACCTGCACGCTGATTAAACACATATATTTCATTGCTGATGAAAGAAATAGCTTCCATCTGAGAAAATTCACAGAGCTACACACCTATGATTTGCGAGGTTTTTGTAGATATACTCTACCTAAAGTTTTTTTGTAAGAAGGAAAAAAGGCACCAGACCTGACAGTTTCATTAGAGAAACTAACTCACTCACTAACCCTTCAAAGATCAGATCTTCGCAACACTACTTAAATTATCCCAGCATACAGCATGCTTCCAAATAATGCTGTTTTGTCCAATATTGTACTGCTACAACATTGATGAGGAAAAAAAAAAAGCACACGATTGGCCTGTGTTGAGCAAAGTGATGTCACACCAGGACCTGCCTTCAGTCTATGTTATTTCAATGACGTCACCATTTCCAAGAACCTGTCAATGACATTAAGTGAAGACCAAAGTATAATCAAAGGAAATTTTCAAAATTATTTTTATTGACTTTCAAACATACCAAAGATCGCATCTGAAAACAAATTACACAGCATAGAATAGCAGTATGAAAAACTTTAAAACAGAATCCAATACTAAATTTTTTACTAAATTTTTTAAAAAGATATTTTTCCCAGGTGAAATTTAGTCTACAAATTCAAGGATGGTTCAATATGAGCAAAACAGAAGTACTGCCACAACCAAATACCCATTTATATTTTTATAAATCCAATAAAATAGTCATAAATGGCTACTTTATTAATATGCTAATATATTAAAAAAACTACATATAACCCCATATATGTCCATATCTATCCATGTATATCTAATCCCAAAACATTTTATTTTATGAGGAACCTTGAAATGTTTTCCACTAGATGTGAGGAGCGAGGCAGACGCCTCACCTCACCATATTCTTTACCATTGTATTGGACATACAGGCCAAGTTAACTAGACACAAGAAGGCAAACAGATGGCTGAAAATTGGAGTGGAAGAAGCAAAGTATGCACAGAAAACCAGTTGCTAGAAAATGAGAAATTCAGTAAAGAAAGAATAGGTTTATGACACCAACACGCAAAAGTCAATAGTATTTTAATAATGGGTACAAAATACAGACAAAATCAACAAAACACCCAACGTGAACAATACTGAGCCAACTGGACCTCACAGCCACGCACAGAGTCAGTGCACAGTCCTGCCCAGGCCTGGGCCTTCCCAGGGCAGTCAGGGCCACCCCGGGCCTGCTGACCCCCCCTCGGGCGCTGACCGGGAGCAGCAGCCAGCGTCGGGGGCCACCAGCCAATGTGGGGGTGCAGCCGACATGGACACGGGGCCGCTGGCCGCAGCCGACGTGGACGCACCCAAGTCCGCGTGGGACTATCGGGCAGTGAGAGCACAGCGCGTTGGGTACGCCCGTGGAACGTCATTCAACCCTGAAGGAAGGACATCGTGCCATTATGACACGGAGAAACCGGGGTGACATCACGCCAAGTGAAATAAACTGGCCAACGAGGACAAACACTGCATGAGCTCCCTTAGAAGCAGAATCTAAAAATCAGCTCCTGGGGGCAGAGAGCAGAAGGGTCGTCGCCAGAGTGGACAGCAGCTCACCCGGGGTGTGCTGGGCTCCAGGTACAAAGGTTCAGTTATATGATCAACTAGGGCGCACCATCGAAGGGACAGCCGTGCAGCCCAATTAATACTGTGCTGGGCACTTGAAATTCACTGAGAGGGCAGGTGTTCTAAATAAAGGGTAACTGAGAGATGGACACGTTAATTAGCACGATGGTGCCACTGTCTCACAACAGACTCGTGTATCAGAACTGTAAGTTGTACACGTAAATGCACCTTAAAGGTCATCTTTGTGGTCAATGCACCTCCGTAAAGATGAGGGAAAAAATCAATAGCACGTGAAAGGTAAAACAATTAAGCTTTTAGGGGCCTCCCTGGTAGCCTAGGGGTGAAGTCTCAGCGCCCTCACTGCTATGTCCTGAGTTCAATCCCACCAGGGAGCTACCCACAGGGCGCAGCAGACCTCTCCTGTCTCCCCGCTGCTCCCCTCAGTGTATTTCAGTAAATCCACCTGCTCTGCCCACCCCCTCACTCCCACTCCGGGCCTACACCCCAATCTTCCATGGCAAAAAACAAACAAACAAACCAAAAACCACCTTTTTGGAAGCAAGTATATGTGAGTACTGGCTGGATAGGACCCACATGTTACCTGTGGTTTATGTCTCTTAAGTCTTGTTTAATTTGTAGGTTTTTGTACGTTTCTCCCTCTTTTTTCATCCTCCCCTTACAATTTGGTTGTTAAAGGAACCAGGTGGTGAGATTCTATTTTCAGTTGTGCTGTTTTATGTCTACAGTGTAGACCTATTTGGAAATCTGATTTGAATAAACCAACTTTTTAAAAAAATGATGCGTGTGGGGAAACTCAGCCGTGATGGTGTTGCACCAGTGTCGGGCCAGTGTGTGAGGGGAATCACAGTCACGCTTGTTAAGGAAATTTAACCTTTCGCATGTGCCCTTGAAACAAGCCCCGGTGGGAGGGGTGCTGGGCCTGCGTCCCGAAGCCATGGGGGTGGGGAGGGCCTTCATTTGCACTCTGCCAATTTCCACGGTACAGATCCTCCCATGGTGACTTCAAAACCTGATGGTGTGTCTCTGAAGACAGTTGTACCGTCAAGTCTTGGCAGCCAGCGCTCCGGCCACGGCGCCGGTGGGGAGGATGCAAATCAGGAGCCGCTGAGCTGGTTTTGACAGTGGATGATGGGTTCACTGGGTCATTCTCTTTAAATTTTAAAATTCAGATATAATTGACATTTAACATTGCTTTAATTTTAGGAGTACCGCATAATGACTTGCTGTGTGTGTGTGTGTGTGTGTGTGTGTGTTGAAATGGTCACCCCAGGAAGCTTGTGAACACCCATCAGCACACCCGGGAGCATTTTCTCTCTGATGAGTTTGCAGAAGACCTGCCCTCTTAGCAATTTTCAAATATAGGAGACAACATGAACAAGATATAATCACAGTATCATCACCATGCTGTATGTTACAACCTCACCCATTTGTGCACGCTTGACATATTTTTTTAACGATTTATTCTTATTTATTTATGCATGCAAGAGCTGGGGTACAGGCCAGAGGTGTGGGGGTGAGAGTATCCCCCAGAGACAGAGTGGGGAGCAGAACAGGCGGATCTACTGAAACATACTGCTTAGGGGAGCAGCGGGGAGACGGGAGAGGTCTGCAGTGCCCTGTGGGTAGCTCCCTGGCCTGGGATCAAACTCAGGCCACAGTGGCTAGTGATGGCTTGATAGTGCAAGACTTAACCCCTGGTCCACCTGGGAGGCCCCAAGCTTAACATTTTAAGCAAAAATTTGAAAACAACAAAACCATTCCAAATTTTAAGATAACACGACAGGGCTTAAAGACCCTTTACACAAACAGCTAAAGGCCCTTTAAAGCACCATCGCATTGGGCACATCTGTGTTACCCAACATTGACACCCCTGTGTCTGTCCTTCCCCAAGTGGCCAGTGGTGTTTGGTGGCAGATCCCACGACGGCAGTTATCCTGCCGGCTCTCAAGACAGACTGTCCTGGGTCCCTGGCATCTGAGGGGCCTTCACTGTGGTCTCATTTGGGTAATTTGTTATGTTCTTCTTAATTTCAAACCAAAACCACTTTTATTCCACATCACAGCAGATCAGCCATAAAGACCTCCAGGCCGGGGACCTCCCTGGTGGCACAGGTGGTTGAGCGCAGCACTGTGAAGCTGTCTGCAGCCTCTGCAGTGTGGGTTCGATTCCCGGCCAGTCAGGGAGATTCCCATATGGCACAGCAGACCTCTCCTGTCTCGCCCGCTGCTCCCCTCAGCAGTGGATTTCAGTCAGTCTGCCTGCTCTGTTCCCCACTCTGTCTCTGGTGAATCCTCTCACCCTCCCACACCTCTGGCCTGTACCCCAGGTCTTGTATTTAAAAAAAAAAAAAAAAAAAGACCTGCAGGTCAGAGTCACAGAGGCTCTTAAAGACAGAGGGAGGTATAAGGGACAAGTCTGGCTCCTGGTACTGAAAGTTTTAAGGAAAAATTCAAGTTTTCTGCTCTTTAAAAAAAAAAAAAGAATCATCACTGGAAAAGGTAGGCTAATTCTTGTCTCTAGGAACAAGAATCTAGTGCAAAAATGAACACATTTCATAAAAGAGAAGAGGCCTTTCCTTAATTAGTAACTGGAAATCTAAAAATCAGCAGATAATACAGGTTAAATTCAAAATGACAATACATCATAACAAAGCAATAAACCTTTACCATAAAATTATAGCTGATTGTACAATCGAGAAATTACCCCATATAGAATTCTATAATTGTTTCCATCTACAACCATAAACATTTCCATTATTTTCACATAGGTTTGAATATAATAGTTTCAGCAATCCACTGAAGTTTTAATAGCAGCTTATCATCTGCCTTAAGGCTTTCGCTTTTATTAAGTAGTGACAGCAGTCAGAGAGCACAGGCATCCTTGCGTGTATC